TTATTGCTAATATTAACCAAAATCAAAAAAATTAGACATGCAATAAATTGGTCTAAAATTAGCAAATCATCAAAATCAATTAAAATTTAATCTAACTAATTGGTATACATCAAAATTAATTAACATTTAACTTATTTTATTTATAACTGCTTAACATATTTATTTATAACTAATTAAAATATATTAAAATTAATTAAAATATATTACAAATTTTTATCAAAATAAAATAAAATTTGAAAAGAAAATATAATTAATATTTTATATTTTAATCATAAAATTTATATTAAAAAAATATTTAATTTATTTGATTAAATTTTTATAAATTGTATTTTTATTAATTAAACTAATAATCAAATATTTTTTTGCATTTCATTAGATTGAAAATTTAATAATTAAATTAAAAAATAATAAACTATTTATAATTTAATATTTCTTTGCTAAATAATAATATTAAATATTTAGAGAACTTGTTAAAATAAAATTATTTATAAGAATAATTTTATTTATATTATTATAATAAATTGTTAAACTATTTTTAATTTTAATTTATATTTATACTTATTTTTAATAAGTATTAATAAATTGTTTTCAAATTTATTTTAAGTCTAACATATGATAATAAAATTATTTCTAATTTACTTTAAGTCTTATTTAATATATAATTAAAGTATTAATTATAATTTACTTTAAATCTTATTGTATAGATAAATTGTTTCTGATTTACTTTAAATTTCATTTAATGCATGATTAAAAATATTAATTATATTGATAAATTATTTTCAATTTATTTTAAGTTTTATATTAATTTAATATATTATTTAATATACTATTTAAGTTTATTTCTAGAATATAAAAATATTTATATAAATTATCTTAATTTTTTTACTTCTTAAAAAATAATTTAATTTAAACTTATCTTTTCAAATATCTTTTTTTACAATTAAATTATTAAAATTCTATCAAAATGTTATCAAAAAAATTGTTATAAGAACAAAAAAAAATGTAAATTAAATTCTATTAATTAATTAGTTAACTTTTTAATAAAATACTTTTTTTTACTTTTTAATAATAAAATCTTAATTGTAATAATATTAAAAATACATTTTTAAAATCAATTTGATCAATAATAAAAAGTTAAAAATAAATTGAATTTTACTAATCAATTATAATAATTTTTTAATAATAAAATAATTTTTTACTTTTCTATAATAGAAACAAAATCATAAAAATAACTTTAACTATCAAAATTAACTGAAGAAAAGCTAAAATATAAGTTGAATTTTATTAATTAATTAATCAACTTTTCAATAATAAATTAATAATTTGCTTTTTTATAATAAAAAAAAAACAAATTTCAGGTAATATAGAATAAGAAAAGTATTTTTCTATTTTTATTATTTTATTTATTATTTTACGTTTTTTTAGACAATTTTAAAGTTAATTTTTTCAATTTATATTATTTATTATTATCTTTTATATTTTTATAATAACAATATTATAATTTTAAAAATTTAAGATAATTTAAGAAAATTTTAGAAGAATAATAGATTATATTTTATCATATTCTTTATTATTTTATTTATTTATCTTTACTTTTAAAATAATAATACTAGGTGAAACTAAAATATATAATTATATATAAAACTGAAACTGTTGATTCTGCTATTGTTACTACTATTGTTATATTTAATCTTTAATAATTAAAAAATCAAAATCTGAAATTTTATTTTATGGATTTTTTATAGATCTAGTTAAAGTTAAATTATCAAATAATTTCAATACTATTGCTTATTGATGAGTATCTTTTATTTGTTAAAATATTTTTAAGTGAATATCAAAAAATAAGATCTAAAATAATAAGTTTTAATTTTAGGATTTAAAGTCTATTATAAGAAATAATAAATTGTATTTATATTAATAAAATTCTTACTAATACTATTATAAATAATTATATACTTTAACATATAAATATGCTACATTTGAATTCAATTTTATAACTTTACATAATATTGAAATTTATCTCTATAATATATCTAATAAATTGTATTTTTTCAAAAATTTGAAAATATTTTTGACCTTTTATATATTTAAGATAAGTTATAGATAAATAATTTCTTTCTTTAATAATATTATAAATATAGCTTCATTCAAAATTAAAATATTAAATAATAGATTCTTTAGAATAATTATAAATTTTAACAGGTTTTTTTTCTTAACTAATAAAGGAGTTTTATTAGTTTTCATTTTTTAATAAATGTCTTTTACAAAAAAATTTCTTATACATAAATTATTAAAATAATCAACATATATCAAATTTAAATTTTTTGAATAAAATATGATGATCCTTTTCAAATAATATGAAAAAATTCAAAAAAAAAAATTTAATTATATGCAATATTAATACTTTTTAATAATATAATAATATAATACAAAAAGTTAAATTAATTAGCTATTTATAGTAAAATAATATATCATTATTTTTGTTTATTTTATACTTTAAAAAAATATTGAAAGATTTTTTGATTAGCCAATATGATTAGTTTTAATTAAAAATTAATAATAATTCTTTAAACTTTTAATTTTATAAATTAATAAATATTTAATTAAAAGGTAATTTTAAAATAACTAAAACTGATTTTTAACCAAATGATTATATGTAAAATTTTACTTACCTATACAATTAGAGTTTATTAGAATTAGGTTTAGGCTTAGAATTAATGTTTGTTAGGATTAAGTTTAAAATTAGTGTTTATTTATTATAACATGTCACACTCCTTTATTCTTATTTTTAATAATTAATTGAAAAACTTAGAGAAATTTTTATTGCTAAAAATTTTATTTGTCACTTATTTTATATCATATAAATAATTTCATTTGGAAAGCAAGTTAGCAAAATCTTTTAAAATTATGATTATATAATTAAATTAAAAATTAAAAAATTATTATATAATTTAATTAATAATCAAACTAAAATTTTAAGTAATTTAATTATTTATAAATAATTAATTAATAATTGAATAATTAATATTTTATTTATATTAAAATTAAATTTAATTTAAATTAAATTATTTAATTAATAAAATATCTAAAAATATGTATACTTTAATTGAAATAATTTATTAAAATATCTATTAATGAGAAAAGATATTATAAAAATGTTTATAATAAAAGTAATATAATTAAAAAATTATTAAAAATGTCAAATAAAATTACTGATAATTAAGAAGAATTTTAAAACTAAAAAAAATGAAGGTCTTTATTATAATTACAAAAGATCGATTTAAAGAAAAGAATTTTAATTAAAGAATTAGTTTTTGGTTAATCTGAAGAACTACATGACTTTTTGAATGTATTTTTCATAAAATAGTTTCATAATGATAGTTTGAAATTTGTATTTGCTGCGCATATTATGCGAAGTCGCAGGAAAAAAAAAAATTATTTGATTCCTGCCAGGATCGAACTGGCGACCTTCAGCGTGTTAGGCTGATGTGATAACCAACTACACCAAGGAATCAACCCGTTAGTAAAGGGGCTCATAAAAATTATTTAAAAAATTATTGTCATTATAATATATATATATATATATATTTTTTATACATTAACGAAATTGCAAAATTTATACATTACGAAATTGTCGCAATAATAAACAAAATCTTATACTATTATAAAACAAATCATAATATATAATTTTATTATTTTTTGTCAAATATATATATATATAATATATATAAAAACACCAGGTAAAATATAAATGCTACGACAATTTATACCATTACATCAACTTATTTGTAGTTTTCACATTGGTTAGCTAAAATAAAATAAAATAAAATAAAACACCCTCCAAGTCAATTTGTCCAATTATTTCAAGAAAGAGAAATTATTAGAATGATATCATCAGCTGGTTTCATTGGAAAGCTGATTCGGGAGGTATGGGTTCTTTAGGATGTTTTGCCTAACGTGACATAAAAAAAGTGGGAAATCAAAAAAAAATTATTGCAAACGAAACTTAAGCTATCTAAAGTTTCTTTTTAGTCCCGAAAAATATTTAATATTACCTCCATGTGTTGGACGATGACTTTGTAATTAGCGGTAGGGGTCTAACAATAAAAAAATAAAAATTATAAAATTTATATCACATGAACGCCAAATTTTAATAATTCATACCTTACAAACGGGACATTTTAATTGCAAACCCGCAGCACGAGCACCTAATTGAGATTTACCTCCGTTTTTATTTTCGGCTTGTTTCTGAGCCTTTTCTCTAATAAATAAATAAATAAATAAAATATATTGACGGTCAAATAAATTAATAAAAACTTACCTAGCTTGTTCCTGTCGACAAAAGAGCAAATACACATAAATACTTATAACCCTAAATAAAACATTACAAAAGTAACATAACAATATACCTTTTGTCTTCCCCTGGCCATTTACTAAAAAGAAACCGAATATAAACAAAACTCCTAGAAATACAGTAAGAAAAAAGTATGCAAACTGATTTTCATTTATATAATCACACGTAATCACGTGATGATGCATGCTCACTTTATCGGTTTTGTTTTTATTGAACATGAAAATGCTGCGCCAGATGTGATTGAATGCTGGTCTAATCTTTATTGATGTATCTATCCAAGGAAGTAATTCAACAGCTGGTTCTATATCTGGATTCAAATTCAAATAGTTTCATGGAAAAAAAATGGTTTGTGTCAAGGATGACGCGTGATGTTTAATGATCTTCCAACCAATGAAATTAGTCATTAGCCTCACATCAGGACAATGATGTGAGGCGAAGACACAAAAAAGTATCAAAAAAAAAAAAAAAGTGAAATTGTTATTTTGATTATTTTCGAAAAAAAAAAAATCTTTACTTCGATAACTACCACCTTTAAAAAAACTTGTAATTTATTTTTACTTTGTTCCTTTCACTTACAAAATACACCTCTAAATAAATTGATTATTTTCTAAAATAAAGCTTTCAGTAGTATAATATTAAAAGAGGAATGGAATCTGTGTGGAACAACAAACGCAGGTATGAAAAGTAGCCTTGGTTTTGGTGGTTAGAATTTCCCTTTTAAACTTTATAAAGAAATTTGTATTTGATCTAAAATCAAGAATTCTTTTTATATAATATAACTAAACAAAATTTCCTAATATTTTAATATTTTATAAAATAGCAATCGGTTAACTGTTAACACTGACCATAGCAATAGTTCTATAACCACCACAACCACGACTCCTACAGCAATAACCCCAACTTCAACAGCGTCAACAAAACTCATCCAACTTCAACGCACAAATTCACCAAATGGAGTTACTGGCAATATTTCCGCTTCCGCTGTTCTTCTAGCACCAACAACGCCCCTGGGAATGGGCTCCGGGTTGGGAAGCAGTAGCGGTGGAGGCGGTTATCTTGCTAAACATCGTTTGAGTATTACGGGCAGTGTAGTAGGAGAGGATAAGGATAATAAAGAAAAAGAAAATGGGAATAGTAGTAATGGTTTGGCATTGCCGCGTCAACAATTCACACCGAGTCCCACTAGTGAGATTCACCCTTTGCACTTTACTTGGGTATTCTGGTTTATGCATCGTAGTCCTGGGAGTAAGATACTAAATTACGAGAGTTCTATGAAAAAGATTGCAGCATTTTCTTCGGTGAGTCTATCGAAATCTAGTATGGACGTTTTTTCTTCTTTCATTCCCATTCCTTGTTCATTTATTCAGTTAATTTGTCAAATGAATACAATATATTTATTTCTTTATTTTACTTGATGTTAGATAGAAGATTTCTGGGCAGTTTATAGTCATCTTCGAAGACCCAATGAGTTACCTAATATTAGTGATTATCATCTTTTTAAACAAGGTGTTAGACCTGTTTGGGAGGTTTGTGTTTATTTAATATTTAATTATTTTTATATTTTAATAAAAAATCTAATTATCATGATAAAATTTTTCATATTAAAAATCAAAAAACAGGAACTATGAAAAAATTATTTATGAAATAATGATTATTAAATTATTTTTATATCTATTTATAAGAATATTCTAAAAGAATTATTTATTTTTATTTAATTTTTAATAGGATGATACAAATATTAATGGCGGTAAGTGGATTGTGAGGTTAAAGAAAGGTTTGGCAAGTCGATATTGGGAGAGTTTGGTAAGTTATATACTTTTAATTATCCTGTGATTTAAATATTAAAAAATATTTGATTATTAACAGAATTCTTTGTAAAATTTATAGGTAATGGCGGTAATTGGCGATCAATTTGATGTTGGCACGGAAATTTGCGGTGCGGTGCTGTCCATTCGCAGTTCGGAGGATATTTTGTCCCTGTGGAATCAGTCTGCACATGAAGGAAGGATTAATTTAAAAATAAGGTTAGCTTTTGACAAAAGTTTTTTTCGTTTATTCTCCTAAAAAAGAATTTCTTTGATTTATTTTAAAAATTCCTTTTTTTTTTTCTCTCTTTTTTTTAGAGATACGATGAAAAAGGTTTTGAATTTGCCCGCTGATACTATTATGGAGTATAAAACTCATAACGACGCTTTGAAAGATAATTCTAGTTTCAGAAATACCGATGTTTTTCGATAAAGAGTAAATTTTTATCTAAAGAATGATAATAATTATTATTAATCAAATATTAATCGCTACTATTATTCATCTTTTTTCCATTCGGGAATAATAATAGATTATTGTTTCTTACCTTTTTCTATTCAAAAGAAAAATTTATAAAATATAATGTTTTAAGAATGAACTAACATATATCTTTTCAGGAAAATCTTTTTTTCATGATAAAGAGATATTTTATATTGAAAATTCAAACATTAAAAATCTATTAAAGGAATTTTAATTATTGTTTTATTTTTTATTTTTTTTTATTGTGGTTTTTGGAAGATTCCATTAAACTTTGTTTATTTATCACGTGCTAAATGATCATCCTTATGATTATCAAATAACGAATCAAAAGTTGACATTAAAAATTTTATTTATTAATCAGACCTTTATATAATCATACTAAAAAATAATGTTATGTAAATATAAGTAAATATTTTTGTTATCTTAATTTTGATCAGAATTTTAATTTATAATTTATAAAATCACAATATTACAAATCTTTTTGTAAAGTATATATATGTTTTTTATTTGAATTTTAATTTATTATATTACTGTACCGTTCTGAAATTAATCAACCCTGAAAATAAGCAACCCATCAATTAGTATAGATCTGAAAATAAGCAACCCATAAATTTCTGTAATTAAACATAATAATTAAATATAATAAACATTAAAAATAGCGTTAAATTTATTAATAATGTATTTTTATTATAAAATATTAATTAGTCTAAACTACAGTAATTAGTAATATTATTCATTGTCATTGCTATCACCATCATCACTATCATCATCATCACCATCACCACCATCATCATCATCATCGCCATCATCGCCACCAATAATATCATTACTAGAATCTTCATTATCATCATCCAATATGCCCAAAGAAGTCAAAATCTTGCAAGTCTTGAAAGATTTTATAACTATTTCATTTGGAATTCCTTTTCAAGCATGTTTGATTCACCCACAAACATCAGATAACCTAGCATAATAAAGGTTTCCTGATGTGATTACTCCTACACCACCTCCTGCCATCGAGATATGCCATTTCTTATGAAAATTGTTTTTAAATGGCTTATTAATTGTTACATCAAGTGGTTGACATATGCTAGTTAAACCACCTGAAATAACCGCCAAATCAATACCATTGTTACAAAACCTAATTTTAACTGAATCTTCAAGATGCCCTTAGAAAGAATTGTATACCATCATTGTTAAAGCATTATTGATTGTTAGATTATCATTAATGTAATCAACATATTTCTTTATTAAATCGGTATCCATCCATCCATTCTTCTAAAACCAAACAATGACACTAGATAGAATCTATTCATTACGTAGTAGTCGTTTACTTTTAAAGATGCAAATCGGCAGAAATTTTGTACTATCTACAGGATAAAAATTAGATAAAAATAAAGCTAAAAGAAAAAAAAACTATTAAATAGAACTTTACCTGTGGCATATGTCAAGACAACTGTGAATTAGTTCTTTTCATTATCAGTACTGCAAATATAAATTGTTTTTTTGCCTATCCCTTAAACTATAGAGGTTCACAGGCAAATTTACCTGCTTATTTACTATAAATTCTCTTCTGATTTACTTTTATGAAAAATTAAAATTTTTAAAAAATTTTTTTTTAAATTAATTTTATAAATATATATAATATTATAGTAAATTTTAGTTTTTAATTATATAATAAA